TTGTTGGGGGGTGCGAAGTAATTGATGGGCTGCAGACGGGTCCCTGCGTAGCCCCGGCCTGGGTGTTCCTGCCCCTTGGGAGCTGTTCCATCCCACTGCTCCAGAAAGCGGAGACGATGCGGGGTCCGTCCCCGCTCAGGACAGCCCCTGCCCCTGTGCACGCCCGGGTTTCAGAGGGATTTAAGCGCAGCCTCAGAGTTAGGAGGGCTCCCTGCGGCAGAGCCGGCCTCGAGGGGGCCAGAGAAGCCCGTGGAGAAGGGATGAGCACGAAAAGAGAGCAGGGACGTGTTGCAAATGCAAGAACATAAACACAGAAGCAGGCATTTGTACAGTTGGGTTGGGGTTTCCTAAGAAAAGGGGTTTATTTGAAAACCACACGGGCAGATTTTCGCGGGGAACGGACGGCCTTGCTCCCGTATTTGTACGACTGCTGGTGTCGGCGTCCTCCACGCTCGCCGCAGGAGGCTCGCGGGGAGGATGCTTTCCCGTTTGATTTCTTCCTAAAGACAAAAACCACCGCAGGTGCCAAGGGCAGCGGGACGTCCGCGACAGAAGCTGCTCCTGTTCACCCCTCTTCTGGCTTCAGCGGGAAGTCGGCGAGCCCCGCTCTCTCTCTGTTGTGTGTAACGCAAATAACGGCTTTGTATCCTTGATGTACGACTGAGAAGCTGTCACGGTCCTTGTTCTTTTTATTAAAAGAGTGTTTTCCAAAAAATAAAAAGTAGGCTAAAAAGATCCGCTTCCGTGACCGCTCGTTTTCTCAGGGTTTCTGGATGCTCAGCCGCGCTCTGCCTGCCACGGAGGAGCGAGGTTCCTCGAGCGCAGCAGCTCCCGCACGGCTTGCAGACCACCGGTAACGCGGAAAGCCCAAGCCGTGGCCGGCAGCTGGGCTGCCGAGCGCCATTAAACGGAGAATTTACAACCTCCTCGGTCAAAAATGTGCCGAGGTGGATGTTTGGATGCCTCCAAGTAATGCTGCGAGCTGAGGCACCGGATCTGGGGCTCGAGGTTTGGGAGTTGTTGCCCTGGGGGGGAAGTTTTCTGCCCCTGCCCTGGGGCCGAGCCCTCGGGGTGGGGTGGGGGGCTTCAGAAAGGGAAATAAAACGCCCTCGGGTTGGGCATTGGGCTTAACACCTCTACGGGGCGACGCACCCAGTGGGTGCCTGGGTCAGACCCTCGCTCCCATTGCACCGGGAAGCCGGGATGGCGGGAGCTGGCCGTGGGCAACCCCACGGGGGACAGGCGGTGACCCCCAGCCCGGGTGGGATCCTGCC